AAATAAATACAACTTTTTCAGTCTAAAATCCGAACCACAATTCATGGTTATTTTGATGTTTCGAGTCTTTTTTGTTCTCATTTGTTTTCAAAGAACAAACTTCGTCCTGATTTAGCCCTGAACATTGAATAGCTAGTCTTTTTAGAAGAAATTTTAAGGTAAAAAATGCAATGTTTAATTAACGTTCAAACTCTTGTGAAAACCGGCGATCGGCCCGACCGGCGAAACGTTTTTTTACTCCAATATTTGGCGATTTATAAGTTCATATCATCAGAGTTTTTTGTACTTACAACTGGTAAATGTATTCAAAGTGTTACTAACAGCAAAGGAATTCAGTCAAACAGCATCATACGCCGGCTCAAACTGTTTTAAATTGTCAACAACAACATGAAAACACACAAGTTACGACTGAAAACGAATATAACTATGTATACAGAAGCCAAAAAGTTCATACATGCCACACATATCTTATACCAAACGACACAATCACCTGTTTCATGGCGTTATCCCGAGTTAGCATGCAAAACTAAATATATTTGCAGTCTAAGCAAGAAAACACAACATATATTTGATATTCGACAAGACTAAAAACTTTTTTGTGCGTATTATCATAGATTATAGATCATACCAGATGTCTCACTGTGTATCTATCTCTACGATTTTCGTGTCCGCGATTTTCGCAAGGCTATCACGCCAGATGACGCGTACGACACTTACTGCCAAAATGGCGCTTACTGCCAAAAGGCGTGATTGCTCACATTTCATGGCGTGGATTACACTTACTGCCAAAATGGCGGGCAATTCGTGCTCATAAAAAATCGCGGACACAATTTTGGCTGAGTGAGACATCTGGTATAATCTATAATCTATGGTATTATCCTGGAGATGCGCCTGCGAAAACATGTACGCGCATGTCAATTAATTGATCTTGCAGAGCTCGAAAAACTTTCGGCCGAGCGAGTGAGATACCACAATAAAACGGCGTAATTCAAAATTTTGCACGGTGACATGTGATGAAATTTTGCACAACGATAACTTCTTTTAAAACAAATAGAATATCAAAATTTTAAAAAAATCTGTAGATTGAAAAACTCTAAATCCGCAATTTTTTATTCTGGCTATTCTAATCTACAGAATTTTTTTATTTTCAGGGATAAGATTCCGCATTAAAAGTGAAAGCTATACAGCAGTTAAAAATGGGGTGTCACCGGCAATATTCGGAAAATAAATAATAAAAACCTGCTTAAAATAGCAAAAAATACCATATTTGGCGAGACTACTGTTACCATGGAAACAATATTATGTTCAAGAATATTGCAAATTTTTTCTATCAAATACTTAATTTATACTCGGGAATGCTTAAAATTAATAGATGAAGTGATAAAATTTATAAATTGAATTTTTTACGCAATAAGGTATTATTTATACTACGGAACTGTATGGAGCCACCTTAAGAAAAATAGTGAGTCATGCGAACATGAGAAAAATATACGTGCATGGTTCAGTAAACGAACTTTTTATGGAATAAATTCATCTTCAGTCACCTTTGGCTCATATTCTTGCATAATACAATGGAGGATGGTTATTTTTATATAATTTACCGGAAAATGGCTTCGTGTGCTGTACATCCAACATATTTGGTGAAATATTCTTGACCGCAGAGGGAATCGAACCTGCGACCATCGGTTTTCTAGCCCAACCCTCCACAAACTGAGCTACGAGATGAAGTTAGTTAGTTTCTTCAATATCAGTTACTCTATATTTAAAATAATTAATTTAAAGAATTCGTGGTGTGGAGCCACTCTGAATAGCGTCGTCTAATATAAAATACCCAGGCTCTAATCCCACAATCATTAAATGACGTCAGATCATCAATGATAGATACTAAATGATATCTAAGGGAATTAAGTTCTATAATTTGGCAGGTGTTCAATTATATTTTCCGGCTACCTTTCTACTTGATACGGGCTTGAATCATTAATCGGTAAAAAATGTGTATACTACCTCCAAAACCGATGAAAATAGTACTTGAACCAATTTGTTCCTCCTGCAGAATTTCTCTCCTGCTTCTTCATATTAACGTACATTACAAGTAAGCCACTACAGCAAAGAGATAAAAGAAACGCCAGAATATGGTACGAGAAATGTCGTAGAATTTATTATATAATACCTTATTGAATTCTGATCGTTTAATTGGCTGTTTATGGTCACGTGATATTGAATAGAAATTCCATTTCCCAAGAGTGCAATGGAATACGTTCCATTGCACTCTTTGCGAGTGCAATTGTACTATACGTTTTATTCCATTGTATACACTTTGTGTTTTCGATAAATCGTATCCATCAAAATGCCTCTCATACGAATCTATTAGTCTATTTTGGTATTTTATGTACTATTTAAAAAACGAGCAGGAGTGTTTTATTAGGTTTAAAGCCACGAGCGCGCAGCGCGAGTGGCTTTAGACCTAATAAAACACGACCTGCGAGTTTTTTAAATGGGTTTACTAGGCGTCGTGTGTCTGTCTACAGCACCGATAACTTAATAAAATATGAAATGTATTAATACGAAAATTTGTGGAACTATACTGGACATTATACTCCAGGACAAACTGAATGATTAAATTTTGGTTAAAGTTGGATGGAAATTGGATGATAAATTGCTTTAACTGTATGAAATAATGAAATTACTTGTATGAAACGAGTACGACTACGATCACGATTAGCATTTCTATAGCTATAGCGCAAATTTACATGTGGATATGATCAAATACGCTTTACATAAAATATTATACGCTTATCTAACTACATACTTAGCCTAGACTATTTTATTTTTACAACAATTGTGATATTACTTTCTTAACTGTGTTTTTAAATTCATTATTTTCATTTGCTTTGAAAATTGGGGTATATAAACTAGAGCCCTGACTTTTAGGTTATAAGGAATTATAGTTCTACTGAGAAAAGTTAGGTTAAATATGTGTGAAAAAGGTTCGGAAATTTCATTAGCAATGTTCTTGATGACTTGTATAGAGTTATACCGTCATATCCTGAACTCTTTTTAGAATTTGAATTTTTATCTCAGTTGCTATTTATCTCTATTCAGTCTTATCTCTATTCAGTCTTATAGGTATTTATTAAAGGTTCTTTTACTGTTCAGAATATTTCTGGCTATCCCTGGTTCAACATTTACAAAATAATCGTGGAACTTATTTGCTATTATAAATGGATGGTTTATTATTTCCCCATGCAGTCCTATGTTTTAGTTTTGTTTTGGTTGTAATTCATTTACGTTTCCCTTATCATATCTTCTATCTTTACGCGCAAAAGGTTATACATCCAGGTCCATTTATTATGTAAATAGAATTTGCCATAGTTCTGGCAATTATAAATTTGCAGTTAATAGCTATAGTTTCTGAGCTAATCATATTTGAGGAATTTCAACTAAAATCTGATTGGTTAGCAGTATGTCTCCTTAGAAACGAATGGCAGCAATAGAAGTACATTATGTTTAATTTTATAAGTAGAATGTTTTCTTATAAATTATTGCCGGTGATCCTTTCTATACGTAACCTTTTTCACTATAGTGTACCAAAAATAGAGAATCCTATAAAAATACGTTTCATTGCGAAACTACGCAATATATAGTGTGGTAAGAGTACATTTACACTTTACATGCCTCAAGAGTAATTACTCTTACCTCAAGACAAAAAATGTGTCTACTCCATAAGCTCCATTGATCGAAATCATGTTTGTAAATCGTCGTTGGAAATCTCTTACATCGTTCAAATTATCTGTGAAAGAGAACAGACCAAGGTTGAATAATAAATTGAATAATAAATCAACGATATATATATATATATATATATATATATATATATATATATATATATATATATATATATATATATATATATATATATATATATAAACTCGTTCCAAAAAAGTTTGACCGCATAATATATATATATGTTCTCATTTGCATCACTCAATTATACGTCATGCACAAAAACCCATACAACAGAAGGAGTTCAATTTGAATTTCAATTACAACTTAGGTCAGATGTCGCCGACATTGGTAAAGCCCATTGTTGTTGATCATTGATGATTAAAATACTTTGCTTATTTCCCTCTTCACTGATGTCATTGCAGATATGAGGACAAAAGATCAAATAATTGAAGCAATTTTGAAAGAAAAATGAAAGATAGTACTTTATAAATACCAATCTATAAGGCAAGCAATTAGGATTGTTTGGAGTTAT